TTTTTTGTGTGCGTAAAGGACTGAGTATCTTAGTTTAAAACTAGATCCATTACTTCAAGATGAAATTTTCTAAGTCCTTTATTGTCAGAGCTATCAGTATTTCTAAATAATTATACATCGAATACAATATACCGTTATAGATTGACATGTATTGCACAACCAAACGTTACCATATTGCTTAAACTCAGGCATTCCACAAGTAACGCTTCCTAAGACCCATGATGTCCATGTAATGAAGGAAGATTGATCAAAGTTGTTTAGTGAAACAAATTAGTAATGTATTGTCACGATATATACCTAGCAGATTAAGGGAGAGTTTTCTAAAGGCATCTGTTTCAATGAATCTATTAATTTACGATGTTTGTCACGACAGTTAGGATCGCTGATCTCAGCGATAACTACCTTGAAACAACCGTTAAGACAAGGAGCTGTACAAAATATTTACCGTAACATCCACTTTTTTTATTGCTTTTAATTCCCTCSAGGAACTCGTTTTTTTATATTGGTACTGGTCAAATGGCAACGGCTGGGAAACAGCTGGATTATGCCGGTATTGCTCGGCGGCCATGTTGGAGGAATGAACAATAGATACTAATGAAAAATCCTTTGTTGAAGTTCTTTCAAGATGGCCGCTGTGACGTAACTTGAAAACGAATAATTTTATTTTTCCGACTATCGGTCTCCTTGTGTCTTGTTATAGAAGGAAGTATTCTTATTTATAAAATTACTTAAATATTACGCGCGTTWTGATTGGCCGAGTACTGTGTTTTGATTTAAAAATGCGTKTACGATGAAATGCGAACATCGAATTTGAGTTGTTTTTGTACACATACCTCTTTATGGAGATCSAAATAAGTACTTGTGAGGATTTTTGTATCGATATAGCTTTGAAAAGCAGAGGAATCAAGCTTTGAAAGTCGGGTTTTTCCTGTCCACCATTAACCTTAGYCGAAGTGACATCACTTGGCGGTTTGCCGTCATATGACGTCATATGCTTAACCCAGGAACGAGGTTGTCGTTCAGACATATAAAACTAGGAAAGGGGGAAATGAAAGTTTGAAGCGTAGAAAACAAAGTCAGTATCATTAAATCAAACTTTTTTTATGCCTTTAGACTTTCTGAGTTCAAATGCAATCACGGAATACATTGCAAGTCATCATCTTTGGCCTATAATAAATACACTATGCATCCGCTCTTCGAAGATTTATCGTTCAGGTCATGGGGGAGCACACGGCCTGATCAATTCTCAGAATGTTAACCTAGGCACTTTACGCGACCGTCGGAAGCGGTCGTATCTAGGGGGTTCGCGGGCATGCTTCCCCGAAACATTTTGAAATTCAGACACTGATCGGAAACGTGATTTACAGCGTTTTGCTAAGCATGTTGTGACTTTTTTATCTTACATCATTGATCGAACTTTTTTAGTTTGGATACGAATTAAAGAAAACTCGATGAAATTTTTTGTCATATGTTGTCATTGCAACGGAGCATTTATTTCATAATCTTCGCTTCGTTTATGATCAAAGTGCATCCTTGGATAGTTTATTAGCTTTTATTCATCAATTTGATCACTGTACAGCGAAAGGGAATTTTATACATAAATAGTTGAATTTCAACGAAATCCAAAATTTGTCCACATGTAAAAATCAAGTTGCTATGGTGATGCCAAAATATCATGTCCAACAGCAATTATGCCATTTTGGTTCATAAATAGATGTTTGCAGGGACCTATTGTAGCAAGTTAAGTCGGTTACTTGGAATACTGGCGCATCAATAAGATATAGATTTTGAAGAGAAGAGAACTTGCAATACTGGTGCACAGAGAAGCACGACTTAGTTGATTTGTCTGTCTCCCAGATAAGGAAGCAGTCACATGTCAATAATGTCCTGAACACACTTAGCAAGACAATAGAGCTAATTGCAACAAACTCGTATTCAAGAGCTGTGGAAGAGGCATTGAGATTTTATGATAATTTTATGTTAATTTGGATTTCTTGATGTAAAAGAAGTTTTTGGACATTCTGGAAGTCTCGGAACAGTAAATAACATGGCAGGGAAAAATCTTTGTAAAATATTCTTATTTGTACAGACGTCTTTAATCCACGAAACAAATAGTACTAATTACTGCTAAATTATGTTTAGAAGACAAAAACGAAAAACAAAGGAATTAACATGATTCTAAGTTTCACGGATTCCTTTCGAAGTTGTTAAACCGTGAAACAAAACTTGATGGCGATTGAAGTGTGATGGTCAAATAGACGCACAAGGAAACAACGCAATAAGACAGTGTAATTTATCTATTTCACGGATTTCCGAAGTGCACAGATATGAAAAATTACCATGCACCCATGCAGTATTGAAATCGGGTAAACTTTGACGCTGTCTAGCGCAAAATCCTGGTTCTTTTATTATTTTTTTTGACAACCATCTCAATGTTAATAAGTATACAAATTTTCATTGAGAATCTAGGAGCGGTTGTATTTCTACGGAATGGTATTAAATAAGTTGTGGCATCTATGCTATCTTTCGGTCAAACCACGCACATAGTTTTAACTAAATTAAGATTGATTAAAATTTGCAGTGTCTTATAGTATAAAATATATACAATATTTCAGTCACCAATAACGCGGTTATCAAGCTCATTTATGATGGGTTAATTACGAGGCTCTCTGATGGGACTTTGATGGACATGAAATTGTATAAATAACATAATTCAGCTGTTCCCTTATGCATAGTGTCCATATAATCCATATATAGGTTCAACATTATTGTAAATTCCCCGAGGAAACTAATAGTAATTTTAGATGATTTTCATTCAATTTGTTTCATTCCGATTTCTATTTATAGAATGCCCCATTTTCGAATTCAAAGCGARCAACCGCTACTTTATTTGACAGCAGWTTTTCTTGCTCAAAGATCTCACCAATGACAAAAKAGAGCACTAGTAAATGTCRCTTTTACAATAGCCTTGAAAATGTGCATTTTCTCCGAAGTATTGAGACTAACCYTKTATTTCCATGAGACCTAAGGGYTACTTTACGCCTTGTGKGAATACAGGGTTAGCATCAACTCGGGGGAAATGTAAATTATACTATAATTTTGTTAAGCTGTTCCTTCGTTAATGAGTATTCTCTTCCCTACATATTCCTGCCTACATATTCCTGAACAGAATAAGCAAGAGAATAGAKGTTTGAATTAAAGTCGAAATATTKTATTCGATCTCCAGACTCGTTTCCTTAATCCAAAWCTTGGGTTTTCCTAAAACGATGTTTTCCTTCCTCGGAATTATAATCATCTCGATGTATCTCAAACTGTCGGATGGGCATGGATTTTGAATCTCAAAAGAAARGCAAAAATGATAAAAAACAAAACAAACAAACAAACGAAAAAGCAAAAAGAACGTCAAACGGCAAAACAATAACATTTTAAAGGCTATAGATCATATGTTGTCATTGCAATGTAGCATTTATTTAATAATCTTCRCTCGTTTATGATGGAAGTGCATCCTTGGATAGTTTATCCATCAATTTGATCACTGTAAAGCGAAAGGTAGTTTTATCTATAAACAGTTAAATTTTAAAGAAATCCAAAATTTGYCCACMTGTAAAAATCAAGTTGCTATGGTGATGCCAAAATATCATGTCCAACAGCAGTTATGCTATTTTTTTCATAGTTAAATGTTTGCAGGGACCTATTATAGTCAGACAAGTCGTTTTCATCTTGAAGAGAACAAGAACTTGTCTTCAGCAATACTGGTGCTCAGTGGAACACCGCGCACTTGATATGCAATTTTGTCAGTCTCGCAGATAAGCAAGTAGACACATGTCAATGATGTCTTGAACAAGCTTAGAAAGAGAATAGAGCTAATTGTAACAAACTCGTATTCAACAACTGTCGAAGAGGCAGCTCTTATAGGAATGACGTGAAGACCTAACTCGTAAATCGAAACCGCTCAATAACAGAATACGAAGATGAACAATTCCACGATTGAACAACCATCATCGATGGTGGATGGTCCTTTTTTTGTGTCGATGATTGTCATTAATGCTTTCAGTGGTGTCTTGGCGATTGTTTTGAACCTCTTGGTCATTGTGACTTTTGTCAAAACACCATCTTTACGAACACCTTCGAACATTCTTATTCTTAGTCTCGCCTTCACTGACTTTGTTGTTGGTACTTTGGTGCAGCCTGCTTACTGTGCACGTCTTCTTGCAGTTATGGCTAACAACACCGTTGTATATCGAAGTGTTTTTGAAGTATTCAGTCCGGTTTTCGTGATATTGATTTGGGCATCAATTTTGACAATAACTGCCATTACTGTCGACCGATTCCTTGCTCTCCACTTACATCTAAGATACCAAGAACTTGTTTCAAGGAAGCGCATATCAATGGTCGTAATAATGATTTGGACATTCAGTGTGCTGTGGACATGCCTATTTCTTCTCATGAGAAACGTGACTGTCGTAATTGTGCATATTGATAATTTTTTATCTCTTTCACTTTTGTTGTTAAACATTGTTCTGATGCTGAAAATATCTTGCGTTATTCGTCGACATGCAGCACAGATTCAAGTTCAAAATCAGGCAATGAACGCACTGCCTGATGTAGCAGTAAATATTAAGAGATCTGTGAATATTATGTATTACGTACTTGGAATATTTGTCATATGTTATTCCCCGTTAATTTGTATTTCGATTATGAAAGCCTTCATGTCTAAATTGGTCCTAGGTTTGATTGTATTGATAATGGTTAATACTATTCTTATGTTAAACAGTAGTATCAATCCACTCATATATTTCTGGAGAATACAAGACATGCGAAATGCTGCTCTTCCATTGTTTCGATGTTTTCGAAGAAACAACAACAACAACGACAACAACAACAACAGCAACAACAACAACAACAACAACTACAACAATAGAAATAGCAATAACAATGGCAATGCCAATAACAATGATAATAATTATAGTTGCAGCGTCGTTTAACCCGTGAAACAAAGTGTTATAGTCAAGATGTAATAGGAAAATAAAAACAAATGGACAATAAAGTGATTTTCATCGGAATTGTAAAAAAATATTTAAAAAAAAGCAAATAAGCAAATAATTGCTTGAGTTTTCTCGCAATGATTAATCGACTTCTGCACTGTTTCGTCGTATTCTAAGCTTCTGTTCTACTTCTTCCAAGTCCAAGGAATTTGAAACAAATATCAATATTAAGGTTTTTCGATCGTAATAAATAGCGCTACACGCGTATTTTTAAACTCCAACTACGTCGCAAATTTCGATTCGATTGCAATCAAATTTTTTAGATTACGTCGGACAGTGTTCAGCAACAGCAGGCTCTTTAAATCAGTATTTTTTGGAACTTAGAAAATATTTGTCTAACCAAAACATCCTCTGTTTTAGTGTTTTAGCTAAACACTCAATAGGCTAAGAATTGGACTGGATAAAGGAAATGTATTTGAAGAAAATGTACATGTATTTGAAGAAAATATGTTCTAAATTTTAATGAAAATATTTCAAAGAGAGATATTTGATCGTAAAATACAGCAAATGATCAAGGTACTCTGCGCTTTAACAAGGGGAATATTACATATTACTACATATTTTTTTTATTAAATACAATAACAAACACAACAATTTAAATACGTTTACAAAACTTACACTTAACTTACAAAGAGTTAACTAAGGAGTTTTTTTCTAATTTTTTTTTACTTTTTTCCCCCTGCATGCCAATGTATATTTTCCTCTGCAAATTAATTATCTCGTTAGCCCCAAATCTTCCCTGGAATATTTCAATGCCGCCCCCGGCTTTTAGACAMCTGGGAATACAGATCCAGGGGTTATGTGATATATTCAACCAAGAAAAACAATGAAAASCGAACTCGAGTGCGTGTTTTATCGGGTATATAGATTCTCGCCTGCGGCTCGAATCTACATGTATATATCCCGATAAAACTCGCACTCTCGTTCTATAAACAACACTTGAAATGTCATAATCTTTACAACTTTATAGTCATTTGACTTTATGCAGTATGGATCGTGTTATGTATYAAGCGACCAGATACTATAGTATCACCCTTACGATGTATGATCAATTCAAGWGTGTGACCGYGCTTGTGAGTAAMCYCAGAGACACGTTAAATAAGATCGRATGAGCTTAGAAGGTCCATAAACGTGTGAGTATCGGTATTATCCAAGTTATCCAAATGGATGTTGAAGTCACCGATAAAAATTAAGCGGCCAGATACTGTAGATAGATGCTCCAACAATGAGGAGAAGTCACGCAGAAACATTGACAGGTTAAGTTTATTTTTCTTGGAAAGAGGAGGGCGATAAACAGGAGTAGTGTCGGCATGGTTACAGGAGATACTCAGGTCCATGTATTCCAGCGCCTGAAAAGCCATGGTCGCTTGCTGTTTAATAGATAAGCCTTTGCGAAGAAGAACGACAACTCCACCGCCTCGATACACAGATCGTGGTAAATGTACGAACTGATGATCTCTCAGAGTATAGTTTGTTAGAATAGTTTTCAGTCTCAGATACCCACTGAGTTTCCGTTAAAACTGCAATGTCAATACGTTTACTAGTAACAAGATCGCACAGAGCAGCAGACTTCTTATTGCTCCAGCTTGAGTTCCATGTTGCTAAGCGAAGTTGGGAGCTGCGTCTCGAKGCAGGTTTCTTACACTTAAAGTGCATATATGGGTTCAGCAATTTTTCTTTCAAATGAAATTTTTGGACATTAAAAATCACATAATCAAAGGAAATTTTACGATACTATATAAATTTATTAGGAATGACGTGAAGACCTAACTCGTAAATCGCTGAAGAAATAACATTGAACAGAGAGATGAACAACTCCACGATTGAACAACCATCATCAATGGTGGATGGTCCCTTGTTTGTGTCGATGATTGTTATCAATGCTTTCAGTGGTGTCTTGGCGACTGTTTTGAACCTCTTGATCATTGTGACTTTAATCAAGACGCCATCTTTACGAACACCTTCGAACATTCTTATTCTTAGTCTCGCC